GCAAGGAAGTGGCTGCAGTGATTCTAGTACATGTGCCACAGGGTCCAGCTGCTGGCTATAACACCCTGTGCATGGATGGTGGTCGCCAAGTTTTTGGGTGAATACCCCAAAGTTATTCCCTTTTCTTGTCATCTATGAAAGAGTAAAAGGGAATCTGATAATAAGGAAGCCCAAAGGCAGGTGGGTTCATCAAACTCTCCTTTAGGGCCTTGAGGGCTATGTCAATCAGTTCTTCCCACAAAACTGGGTCAGGTGGTTGTTATTGTTGAGAAAAACATAAGAAATTTGGCTTTAAAAGAGAAATTTGGAATCCAATTTCAGCAATAACCAACTGGTCTGAGAAAACTTCACAGTAGCCCTTAGTCTGGGGTTTGGGGAAACTTAGGACACCATGACGTGTATCTGGATCTAGGTGTAGCCCTTGTTCTGATATTGGATGACTAAAATATTGAACCTGGTTTTGGGCAAACTGCAATTTTTCTTTGGCGACCTTAAGTCCTTTTAAGGCCAAATGCTTTATTAAGTGGACGCTGCCTTCCTGTGAAGAGGTTTAAGAAGGAGGGCAAAGAAGCAACTCATCCACATATTGCAGCAAAGTAAAACCCTTAGAGAACTTTATATCATTCATACCAGCCTTCAAGATTTGCAAAAAATAAGAAGGACTCTCAATATATCCATGAGGCATTACTGTCCAGGTGAATTGTTTTTTTTACTCTCAAGTAAAGGCAGAAAGGTATTGGCTGTCTTCATCAACTGGAATATGAAAGAATGCACTGCATAAATCAGTTACAGTGAAGAATTCATTTGTGGTGGGAAAGGATGTTAGTAACATATGAGAGTTAGGAACAACAATGTGTTGAAGGATAACAGTGTTGTTTACTGCTCAGAGTTCCTGAAAAAACCTCCACCTTTGGCCTTTTGCTTTTCTCACTGGTAAAATGGAGTGTTACAGGGGCTAGTACAGGAGATGATGAGGACTTGAGCCTGTATTCTTCTGTTCTGGGCTTTAAGGTTTTCCTTTAGGGTATTGATTAATTCTGGGAAGAAGTTTTGAGGATTCTGTTTAAATTTTGATGGGAGATGCACTGTGAATTTTGCAAACATCAGTTGGAGATTTTGCCAATAAGGAAAGTGGTAGCTTGATTCAATAGGGAGAAATGATCCATATTTTCAGAATCTGCTCTAGTACCATCAGAGATAGAACAAATAAAAGATGTTAGAGGGCCACTTAATTTACCTGGCTGGTTCTTTGATGACACTGTCAATTTCTAGAATTGTTTTCCCCTTTTCAGAGAAAGAATTTCTGGCATACTTCTCTAAGAAGTTTCCAGCCTAATAAATGGATAGGGGTAGAGGAACTAAGGAGAAAAGGATGTGTATCTCTCAAAGGGCCTAAACAAAAGGGAATATGTTCGGACATAGGAACCTCTTGAGGTTCATTAGAAATCCCCACCATTTGAATTGTTTTAGTACTCCAAGGCAGGGGCTGTTTTATGGTAGTGGGGTTGAGCACTCAAGAGTGTGGTATCAATTAGGACTGGAAGAAATTCATCCTCCTGGAGAAATGTTTCTCCAAGCTGATTAAGAGGGAGGATTGGGAAGAGCCCCTCCAGTTCCTCAGAGCCCACCACTGAGAATTGGAGGGCGTTGGAAAGGCTGGTCAGAGGGATGAAGGCTCTACAGTGCTTAAGTTTGTAACAATCTCGTTTCTAATGCCCTGGTTCTTTGCAATAATAGCAGAAACTACGAGGGTTTGGGGTTTGTTTAGGAGCCTTCATTTGTTGGAGTTGAAGATTAACAATTTTGATGATCTTCCTTTGAGGTGATTCATATAGAGCACAAGAAATGTGGTTTGTCAGATTAACTAAATCTGAAGTGGACATAGTTTCCCATTTCATGCTGGTCCTTTTTACTAAAAGGGAAGGATCTTAGTTCAGCCCATTAATAAACAAAGAGTTAAAAGCTACTTGAGTTAATCAACATCTGAAGGAAGACCAGAATTTTCTTTAAAGACAATCAAAAGTCAACTGTAATTTTTGTGAACAGATTTGCAGATGTTTGTGTGCAAGCCTGAATTTTGTTTCAGTCAACAGGCTTTGGAAAAGCCCTAGTAACTGCTCAGTAAAGTTGCCTAGCAATTTTCTGAGCCTGACACATAATAAGATAGCAGGTTGTTCTCCTGGTTGTAATGCTGGGCATCTTTCAGGATTTTCTCAATTAGCAATTTTCACTCAATGCTGGGCCTGACCTTCACTGATGAGCATATGAAGTAGCTGATATAAGTTAGAGAAACCTGGTTGGTGAGTTTGAGTGATTATATTAAATACCTCAGCAAAGCTATGAGGGTCTTTGGTTACTTTGGGAAAATCTTTGACTATGGCTCACAGTTCAGCTTAGTTCAGGGAGTATAAGATATTAAAGATTTAGCCTCTGGACCTTCAGAACGCTTAATTTTAAAGAAACATGTTCTGACAGGTTCAGAGGAAAAGGGAAGTTTGGCCAGAGAATGAGTATGGGGGGTTTGAGGGGACAGTGGAGGCATAGGCAGCATAGAAGGGAAGGAGGGAGATGGCACCAGAGGTGGAGCCTGAGACACAGACGCCAAGGAAGAAGAGCCTGAGGCTTTGAGAGCCACTTTATCTTTCTTTCATCATTTCTTTTCCTCAGTTAATCTTAAAATCTTACTTTGCAGAGAGGCAATTTTAGAGTCCTGAGTATATTGGGAAGCCTCAAAATGCCAATTGAAAGAAGCATTCCACTCAGTTCTGGAAATTTTTGAGCTATTCAAGCTCAATTTGGTTTTAAGGAAATTAAGTTTGGGGATTTCTGAAATTCCCCGTAACAGCCATTGATATTCTAAATTGCCTTTGGTCAGGTTGGTCCATTTAGTTAGTAGTGCCCATGAGGAAGGACTGTGGCTTTTAAACATAAAATTGACCAGAGTCCCTATAACGGAGGAGGCCTTCAAAATACTTAGATAACTGGAGTCTCATTTCCTAGAGGTTTTTCCTCTAGAGTGAAGAACAATTTTCAAACAGCTTAAACAGCTTACAGCACAACTGGTTCGATTCAGACAGCTTGTAAGACAATCCCAGCCAATTCAAAGGAAACAGCTTAAAGGAGCCAGGCCAAAGCCTTTTTCAGCCAGTTTCCAGAGAATCGTCCTTTCAAAAGAATAGGCCAAAGGCTGAAAAACCTGGCACTGTTGCAGAGAACCCCTGTTATCAGAGGAATGGGGCAAAGATTAGCCAGCTTCAGGTGAAGCAGTTCCTATTCCGAAGGGAATATGCAAAGCTAACCAGTTTCAGTGAAAGAGCCTGATATCAAAATCAGGCCCAAGTGCCAAACAAGTACTCACATGCAGAACAAGGCCTTAACCAGAAAGACAAAAGCTTTAAGTAGATTCTGAATAAAGCCTGGAGAGCTCCAGATGGAAAGAGGGTGTGAGTTTGGATCTAAGAGAAAGACTTGCCTTTAAACTCCAGGGTCAGCAGGAAAAGCAGTGAGCAGCAATAGACTCAGCTGTGGGTACTGCACCTGTATATTCACCAGCCCCAGAGCCATAGAGAGTCTTCTCTGGTCCCCATATGGGCCACCAAAATGTTGACCTAAAACAAATTGAGAGCCAGATATTTCTCCAGCAAAGACTGGTATATTTGGGATTGGCGAAGAATTGCAATTTGGAGTCTGCACCATGGTGAGCTATGTGCAAGTTCCCTCACAGCAAGGAAAAAGGAATGCTTTTATAGAGAGTAAAAAAGGAAAATGGGAGGGCTCTAGTAAACAACAAGTCCATGGATTTTCATAGGCTGAGTCCTTGACAGGAAAGAAGAGTCTTTCTTCTTCCTGTTGGGCTCTGCTACAGCTGCAGGGTGTAAGAGATCTCCCCTTCTGGTCTCCCAACTCTACTTAACTGAGGTTTCTGTTTATTGATAGTTTTACAGTTCCTACCAAATCAGCTCATTGAGTAATGAGAAACTCACCTGGACTTGCTTCAATTTTATAGTGATGTAGAATAATTGCTTTTATAGATATAATGTAAATTAATTGTTGGCTATAGCTACCTGAGGTGCACAATAAACTTGTTACATTAAAACTTTGGTCTAGAAAAATGTATACTAAAATATTTACTTTACAACAGTATTTGGAGATTCTGGTTATTATATCTCATAATATTAGATATTAATACAAATTTAATGTACTGCCGGTTACGGTCATATTTTTCAACTGTTATACTGTAAAAGCATCTATATGCCCAACATTTATTTTTCCTTATTCTTGTTTATGCTTACCTACAAAATTTAACCTATATCTTTAGTCATCAGGTTTTGAGTGATAATGTTATCTGGGCACTATGTGAATTATTAATTGATAAATTGACTTTGATTGCATAGTGCCTCATAAAATTCTTTTGTGTCTGTTCTGATTCTAAAGTTGAAATCTTATGTCCTGAATAATTCTTTTAATTATCTGAGGGTTTTATTTTTCAACATTTTGGACATTATTCTTCAAAGATTTTGTTAGTCAGAATGTACTTCTTATTTTCTTTTTGGTTGTTTACCTGTTACCAGTGTGAAAGAAATTATCTAAAGAGATGTCACAAGATCAACAAAAGTCTAAGCATTTGGAGTAGAATGTGAAATCTCTTTTATGTGCTATAGAGAAAATACCTTCAACAATCACACTGATACTAATTAAAATCACAACAGAATATCCACATACTATCTTACTGCTCTTTCTTTTTTTTCCTAACGTTCATCACCTTTAGAAATTCTGTGGGAGGCAAGAATTATTTTCTCTAATTATTAAAGTTTCTAAAACAAATTTGAAAATGCTAGAGCGTATTGCAGCTATTAAACAATAAAGTAAAAATAGATTCTCTCTAGGATCATTATAATGCCTAAAGAAAGAAAAAAATTGAAAAAAAAATATTATCAAGTAAAATCATAATTTCTCTCTTGTCTTCCTCTCTCTGCCTCTCTCCCTCATTTCAACTTAAGAGATTCGTTCTCCTGCTGGTTGTAATGGGAATGAATTTCAGTGTCACCCTGATGGAAATTGCATTCCTGATCTGTGGCGCTGTGATGGGGAAAAAGACTGTGAAGATGGTAGTGATGAAAAAGGCTGCAGTGGTACCTTACGATTGTGTGATCACAAAACCAAGTTTTCCTGTCGGAGTACAGGTAAGCAGAACACTGGGTTCAACTTCTACCTCAGGCCTGCTTCCTTGATGTAGGTTCCTTTGGGGCCCTCCTCAATCCATATCTCACCTTCATAAAAAGTATCCTTGTGTTTCTAGTAGGTTTGCTCACATTCTGTACATGACAGTAATAGTAGGTAACATTTATTGAGAACTATCTGTGGACTTGGCACAGTTCTAAGAATGTTCTCTGCATGAACTCATTTCATCATGCTAATTCATAATGAGAAAACTGAGGCGGAGAGCAGTTTTTAACTTTCTCAAATTAAAAAGTCAAAAGAATTTTTAACTTGCTGGCTCACAGAGCCAGCATGGAAGAAATGGGATTTGAAACCAGGCAATCTGGATTCAGAGTCTGGAATTTCACAGTCCAGAAAGAGACATGTGTGCTAAACCCACTTACAGCATTCCCCTTTTCATAGATAAATCCTTACCATAAAATTTAATGAAGATGACTAGGGAAAAAAGGCATAATTATATGCATTTATTTTCAACCAGTTTCCTAAATTTTATTGTGCTGTCGCTAGACTCCATTAAGATGAAGGTGATGACTTTCAAATCATTCAAACCTTTGATTTGTTTTGAGAGTCACTGAAGCTTTTTTTTTATAAGTTCTAATATTATGATGTTTCCATGTTGTTTTTCTCCATACGGTAGGTGCTACCTAACATGAAAAACTAACTTATTTACTTCCTTCTCTATGCCAGATGATGAGCTGAAGTTTAGAGAATTAACTCTTGTGGTATAATTTGTGAAATGATTGGTATCATTATCCAAACAACCCATGGAAAGAATTTTTTGTAGATTTTAGGATACATCCTGGAATCATCTCTGGGAGTTCTTCTTAATGTGAAATTGCTTCCGAATTGCTCAGTCAGGAGTTCTTGGTGATTCATTTTGCCCTTTATTAAGTATTTCAACCAAAACATAGAAATGAAAAGGTATCACAGCTGTGAGTAAGCAGATACTTTAAGGACCACATGGCCCATGAGCATTTAAAGATATAAAAAGGAATTGTGTTTCTTTTCTTAAACACACCTCCTGGGTATAATTAAGCCTGTAAATAAGAGATAAAGAAATAAATATAAGCTAACATGGGCATAGGTAAATAAATACTCCTGAGGCCTACTCCTAGGAGTAGGAGTAGTGAGGGAGTTGTATTTTCAAATGATTATTTTTCCAACAATATTTTTAACAGGTAACTCTTTTCAATTATTACATAAAGATTCTTAGTTTGGGAGTTATTGGTTAGAAGAATGTGACTTTGAGTTTAGAAATTATCATAATGGAACATTTCATATTAGTTGAAAATCAACAGATGAATAACTTGTTAAATGAATGAATTATTAACTAAATAAGCAAGTTTTTATTTAACAGGCTAATTCTGATGCCAAAGAGCCAGTTATTTGACTCAGGCTAACATTATTCTAAGTGCATATTTTTTCTCCTGTTGCTTCTGGCATTTGTTTGATTGGACGAATGCTGAAATATATCAGATAACAGTCTTTAACAGGTATACGACTAAGGAACTAGCAAGGCTATAGGAAAACAAAATAAAAATATTAATTTACTTGGAATATCCTGAGCTAAAACTAACTGAATATGCTATCAAGATTTAGCAAATTTAGAGGTAAAGCCAGGCTGAAATTTCCTTATGAAGAAAGAAATTATAAATGCCTTCATAATAAAGTAATTTCTAAAAGCTGTATGTTAGTAAAAACTGGTTTGAACTGTCTATGACAGAAAACATGGAGAGAAAACATATAAATAATAAATAACAGGGTTAAGTAAAGTTAATAGAAAATTTCAAGTGATTGTGATTTATCTTGTATGTGTGTATTGATATGAAATAGCTCTTATGAAATAGCTTTTTCTGTATATGACTCAACTTAAAAATAAAACCTTAATTATGATGAAGATGGCTGATGTAGGGAGGAAAAAACCTTTTCCTCTACCCACACAGAGGGGACAAGACAAAGGAAAAGGACTTTGAGTTTATAGGGATGGCAAATTGTGGAAAGGTAAATATATGGGAAAACTAATGGAAGATAAAGGCTACTTAATAACAGTTGTGTAGGTCCATTTTGATACTGACTTTCCATCATCTTCATGGCCTTAGAACTTCCCTGAGGAAGTGTTTTATGGCACTTCTCATTTGTCAAAAGTTTATGCTTTTAGTCAGATAGGGGAAGCTACAGAAGACTTCTTTCTGCATCTACTGAATCTCAAGTGCTTCAGCTCAAAATAATCCTTATGATAAAGTGTCATATTTCGGAAGTAGTGTATTTTGATCCCACACAGTGGATGTCTTAGGAGAATTGTATTCTGAGAGACATTTTTATGCATGTTGATTTGGGATTTGAGTTATCCACTTAATAATGTTAAGATGTTTGTATCAAATGGTCATCATGTAAACCAAAATTTAATATTAAAAAGCAGAACTGCAATAAAACTCATGTTGCATTGTAAAAGGGAAATGTGGTATAACATAGCGACTACAATTGATGATACTGTATTGTATAACTAAAATTTGCTAAGAGTGGAACTTATGTGTTCTCACAATAAATGAATGAATGAATGAATGAATAAATATCCACAGAATGTGAAAGGTAGTAATTTAACCATTGATCTGCTTCTAATTTAATCCCTGGCTTAAATATAGTAAAGCAAAATGTATCAAACTACTTGAGGAGTAATAATTCACAATGTATGAATATTTATGAACATTGCAGATATTAAAGTGAACCACAAATATACACATTGGATTAAAAATATGTACACATCTATAATCTTTGTGATATTTTTAAGTTTAATTAAATTCTCAGCTTTACAAGCTAAAAGACCTTCAAACTATTCAAGATGTTGAATTCAGAGTTCATATTTATTTTAGTATATGTGCTGCCGAAGCGAGCACCAGAGTTCATATTTATTTTTTAAAAAATTCTGAATGCTAGCTTGAGCATTTAAAAGTTTTCAGGGCAATCAATTTATATTTGTTGGTTACAATGGCTTTTATACATAAATTGCTATCATTAGTATAAAAACAGGCACATTACTGTTTCTTTATTCCAATAAAGGAAAGAATGAGAGCTAAATTAAGTTAAAGTACAATTCAACCATTATCATCTTAGAGTCTCTAATCTCAGAGGGTCTATCTTTGACCAAGAACTATACTCTCCCACATCTGGTCTCTCATAAATTGCAGTTAGGGTGACCTTTGAACAGCAGGGGTTTGAACTACATCCATTTATATGCAAAATTTTTAAAATAAATACATTGGAAACTTTTTTTGGAGATTGGCAAGAATTTGCAAAAACTAACAGGAACCACATAGCCTAGAAATATTGAAAAAATTAAGAAAAAGGTACATCATGAATGCATAAAATATATGTAGATACTTGTCTGTTTTATCTATTGCTACCATAAAATCTACACAAGTCTATTATAAAAAGTTAAAATTTATCAAAACTTACAAACACTTAACATACCAGACACGGTGCCATTTGCAGTCAACAGAAGTCTAAACAAATGTAAAGATACAGTATTAAATTACTGCAAAAAGTTAACTGTAGTACATATTGTAATAATTTTGTAGCTACCTCCTGCTGCTGTTTCGGTGAGCTCAAGTGTTGCTAGCATCTGCTTAAAATGTCATGTGACACTAATCATCTCCAGGTGAGCAGTTTATCTCTCCAGTAAACTGCATATCGCAAAAAAAAGTGATCTCTTTTGGTTCTTGCGTATTTTTCATTGTGTTTAGCACAATGCCATAAACCTTGAATAACACCATGGGACCCATATGAAGTGCCACTGTTGAGGCTGGAAGTGCTCCCAAGAAGCAGAGAAAAGTCATGACATTACAAGAAAAGTTGAGTTGATTAATATATACTGTAGATTGAGGTCTGGAGTGGCGGTTGCCCATCATTTCAAGATAATGAATCCAGCATAAGGACCATTGTAAGAGAAGAAAAGGAAATTTGTGAAGCCATTGCTGCAGCTATGCCAGCAGGTGTGAAAACCTTGCACTTTTTCTGAAATACCTTTATATCTTGTATTGAAAATGCAGCTTTTATGTGACTGCACCATTGCTATAAGAAAAGTATACCTAAAGACTCTAATATGATTCGGGAAAAAGTGAAGTCATTATATGACAACTTAAAGCAAAAGGAAAGTGAAGGATCTAAAGGTGGAGAATTTAATGCCAGCAAAGGATGGTTTGATAAGTTTAGTAAGAGGCTTGGCTTTAGAAAGTGTCAGTATAACAAGAGAAGCAGCTTCTGCCAACCAAGAGGTAGCAGATGAGTTACAGATGCCATTAAGAAAATCATTGAGAAGAAAGGATATCTACCTGAACGGGTTTTTAATTCAGACAAAAGTACCCTACTCTGGAAAAAAAAAATCCACAAAGGACATTTATTAGTAAGGAAGAGAAGTGAGCACCAGGATTTAAATCAGAAAGGGATAGGCTAACTTTACTGGTCTGTTCAAATGCAACAGGGCTTATGATCAGGACTGCCCTTATCTATAAAGCTGCAAACCCCTGAGCCTTGAGGGGAAGAGTAAATACCAGCTGGTCAATCTTCTGGTTGTACAAAAAGAAGGCCTCGACAATGAGAACCACTTTCCTGGACTGGTTTCATTAATGCTTTGTCCCTGAAGTCAGGAAGTACCTTGCCAGTAAGGGACTGCCTTTTAAAGTTCTTTTGATGTTGGACAATGTCCCCTGGCCACCCAGAACCCCATGAATTCAACACTGAATGTGTCAGACTGGTTTATTTACCCCCAAACAATATGTCTCTAATTCAGCACCTAGATCAGCGAGTCATAGGACCTTTAAGGCTCATTGCACAAAATGAGCCTTTTCCTTTTCTCAAAGGAAAGTATTGTCAATGCTATGGAAGAGGACCCCAACAGAGAGAACATCATGAAAGTCTGAAAGGATTACACCATTGAAGATGCCATCATTACTACAGAAAAGGCTGT